AAAATTGGTTGCGATGGGTTTTTTGACTTTTGGCCTATGGGCGCAACCACTGTGCGCTGCTGTCACTGTCATAGCAGCAGCAGCAGCAGCAGCAGCAGCATCGCCAGCATCAGCTTCAGCGCCTGCCAGCAATGCGTGTTATTACACCGCGCGGCATACTTTTAGCGCCACTCAAAGCACATTTAACTTTCAGCTTGAGTGTGTGTGTGCGTAAATAAAAGTTGAATTATGACAAAAGGCATGCATCAGGCAGCAGCAGCAGCAACAACAACAACAGCAACAACAATAACAATAATAAGAACTATGGCCTGATAATGCGCTGTTCACTCTTCTGACTTTCACCCGACTTCCATCGTGTGTTTACGTTTAACATGTCGTATGCGCAATTTGTGAAATATGTGAGCGCCTTCTCAGCCGACATGAGCAATAACATGCCCATGTGTGTGTGTGTGAGTGTGTGTGTGTGTGCGCGCGCGTGTGTAGTGTGTGAGTAAGCAATTAGTTGCCTTTTCAGCTGAAATAAAAGCAATTCGAATAAGAGTTCTGTGTGGGTCTCCGGCCAAGTCAGAGACAGAGGCCGAGACGGAGTTGGAGGCGACGTTAAACAAACAGCAGCTCATTAATATCCTTTATGCGTTTATTACACCACCCGGCAGCATCTTATGAAAAAGATTAATAAATGCGCAACGGCGCAACCGGAACAAAACAATAACGAAATGAGCAGCCAGAGCTCGGGGTTGGGGGGGAAAAAAAAAAACAGTTTAATTAGTTAAACAATGGCAGAGCTCCTAACGCATGGTCGCTCGAATCAATCAGACAATGTTATATTATTAATAGCCACAAAACGTTCCACAAAATCATTTATTAACGCCACTTAATGGCCATAATTCGAGAGCATTCAATAGGCTTACAGCGATTACGTATGCCCATAATGTAATAATTTCGCTCAGTTTCCTGCATAAATTGATCAGCTGACATTTTGGCCCGAATTCTTTCGCTCCGATTGCAGCTTGAATAGGTAAATATTTTATTTAGCTAAAATCTTTTTTTCTATTTATTATTGTTTAATTTTAGTGCTTTTGTCACTTTGGCCTATTTAGCTTTTTTTGTCAGCCACACGTGAAATCGTTTTATTAAGCTACGCTCATTCATTTGCACTTTTTACCCTTGCACTGCAAATAGGACAAAGCAAGCCTATGCAAATGCTTTAAAAAGTTCAGCGTGCATATCTGGTTGCACGAGGAGCAGATTTACATGCATTTCACATCAGCCCTAACAGCATTCAGCTTCGTTATTTATGCTGCAATTCGGAAAAAAATCGGTTGCTGTTGTTGTTGTTGTTATTATTTTTTGTTAAGCCCTTAAAAGGTGTTCATTTAAAGTGATAATTAAATTTTTATAAAATTGTATTTCTGTGCATTTGGATGAAAATTGAGTTTTATGCGGAACAATGAAGGGGTGATCGAGCAGATATAATATTATCTGTGAAACATATGCTCAAATTATGAATAATTCCCAGCTGTTGAAATAGTGAAAATGATTTCGCATTTTATTTATTAATTTTGAAAGGTTTGCAAATTTTACATATTTTAAGCATCAACTGAACTTTCGACTGAATTGTCTAGCTAAAT